AATATTTTTTTTATTATTTTTATTTTATGTGTATGAGTGTATTGCTTGCATGTATGTGAGTGCACCCATGTCATGCAGTGCCTTGGGGGTCAGACGAGGGCTTCGGATTCCCCCTGGAACTGGAGTTAAGGACAATTCATAGCTGCCATGTGGGTGCTGGGAATTGAGCCTGGGTCCTCTGCAAGAGCACTCAGTGCTCTTAACCGCTGAGCCATCTCTCCAGCCCCAATTAAAAGTATTCTTATAGCCAGGCATGGTGGCACATGCCTTTAATCCCAGCACTCGAGGGGCAGAGGCAGGCAGATCTCTGTGAGTTCAAGGTCAGCCTGGTCTACATAGTGAGTTCCAGGACAGCTGGGGCTACAGGGAAACCCTGTCTCAAAAAGACAAAAAGCAAAATAAACAAATGAACAAAACCCATTGTAAACAATGAGACGTATTCCCTAGCAGGGAAGAGGGCTGGAGAACAGCACAAAGTTGTCTCCTACATAAGATTTTCCTCTGTAGTGTACAAGTCATTTTAAAATGATGTGTGGAATCTACAGCCTGTGGTTTTTGTTTTTTTGTTTTGGTTTTTTTTTTTTTTTTCCCTTTCTCTTTTTTCCTTAGGAACTGAGGACTGGACACAGGGTTTTGCCCTTGCTAGACAGGGGCTGTACCACGGAGCTAAATCCCCAACCCCAGCCTGTGGTTTGATAATGGAAGGCATCATGACAAGCCCTTCTGACATCCAGCCGTTCTGCTTTTGTTGTTTGTGGCCGCACTTCCCCTAGATTAGAACTGTGGTATGTGTCCGGGAACTGTTGCATCCCAGAGGCCCTGTACTGCTATTTACTGTGCGAACACTACGTGTCAGTGCAGTGAGGGGTGTGGGGACATTGCTAATCAAGGCAATGGTCTTGGCTTTCCCTAAGCTAAGGACAGAGTGTGTAGACAATACCAGAACCTCAAGAGCTTCATTGCCCCCAAAATAATCAAATGAAAATAGACAATAGGGGGTTGGAGAGATGTCTCAGGGGTGAGAGCACTGGCTGCTCCTGCAGATAACCCGGAACCCGGGTTTGATTCCCAGCACCCACATGGTAGCTAGCAACTATCCATAACTCCAGTTCCAGAGGAATCCAACACCCTCTTCTGACCTCCACAGGTATTGCATGACCCGGGTGCACTTGCACACATGTAAGCAATACACTTATACACAACAAATAAAAATAATGAATAAAACATTTTGAAATAGGCAATAGACTTAAATAGATATTTCTCTAAAGAAGGAAAATAGCCAACAAATATACAAAAAGCTTATTGACATCACTAATCACAAGAGAAAAACAAATCAAATCATAATGAGATGCCACCTCAGTTCAGTTGGCATAGCTATAGAAATAAGAGCTGGTGACTCCGGCTTGGAAGGATGTGGACAAAACGCAGCCTCGCACCCCATTGCTGAGAATGTGAGTAAGTGGCTACAGGCAGCATGGAACATAGTGCTGAGGTTTCTAAACAATTATGAATCAAGCTACAGTGCAATTCAGAACACTTACTCCTGGGTATGTGTCCATTGGAAATGAAATCAGTATGTTGAAAAGGTACATGCACTCTTAGATTCATTACAGTGGTATTCAGGGTGGAGGAATGGAAACAGCCATCAAGTAAGGAATGGATAAAGAGAAGTTACATATACACAATGAAATAGTGTTTGGGCAGAAGGCATTGCTAAATGTTACATGCACAGCATGAACAAAGCTAAAGGACATTCTCTGAAGTGAAAACCAGACACAGGAGAGAGGTACAATTGATCTGAGTCATAGGTGGAATTAAAAATAAATGACCTTGAGCTAGTGAGACAGTGTAGCAGGTAAAGGCACTTGCTGCACAAGCCTGATGACCTGAGATTGATCCTCAGTGCCTATGTAAAAGTTGGAAGACAGAATTGTCTCCACAAAGTTGTCTTCTGGCTGTCATACGTGCATGGTGACAGGTCTAGGCACGCGTGCGTGTACACACACACACACACTGCACACATATATAAACAAACAAACAACTAAGTAAATAATGTTAAAGTTTTTAAATATTGGTCTTGGGGAATTTAGGAGTAGAAAGCATTTGCCAGGAGTCAGGGAGTGCCAGGGAGAAAGGGAAATAAAAAGGTTGATTAATTTATGTTAGATAGTTGACATAAGTTATACTTAGCAGATAATGAAATGAAAATATATATTTCACAAAACCTGGATGATAGTATTTTGGCTTTTTCACAACAAGGAAATGAGCAATGACTGAATAAATAGGTCTGCTGATCTTGGTGTAGAGCATTGTACAATGTATGCATGTGTCAAAACACCATACTAAGATGACAAAAATTTATTGGTCAAATAAGTATAGAAGAGAGGAATATTAATAGCCTTATGTCTGTTACTTCATTTCACAGGCAATTAGTGTGAGATACAGAATATCCAATATTGGCATCGGAAGACATAAAGTAAAAGGCAAAGACTGGATGTCTTAAATACTGAGGATATCAGTCGTTTAATGAGTGCATGATGCCCTTTGAACCACGTGCTAGGCACATTAACCCTCAAACTAGTTCTTCAGCTTGTCTTTTGGTTCTCAGTTTAAGGATTGAGAAATCACTGTAGAATTACCCAAGGCCACTTCCACGTTCAGCAGAGGAGGCAGACCTCAGTCTTCGACTTGGATTCACATCTCTCCCCCTGTTCACCCCTCCTCTCCAAAGAGATAATAAACTACTTTCTGTCCAATTATGTGTCTTCTGTTTTATCATTTTTCATGTTTAGTAGTGTATCTCAGAAAGTAAATGTGCTGTTGGTGCTTGCTGAATTAAGGTATACATGTAAACATTTACAAGGTATGAAAGAAAGGAAAATGCATGTGTTTATGTAGACATTTGTCCTGTTGATAAAAAAAAAACTGTATGTGAAAGGTGGCATCACTGGTGTTCTTAGGGTCCCCCAAAACTATACTATTCCTGACTATCAGAGAGAACTGGCAAAGTAACACTTAAAAATATTAATTTTAAAATCTAACTCAGGAGCCAACTGATATCTCGTACAACTCTCATTTTAAATTGATCACCTCTGTTTTTTGATTTATGAACAGGAGATGAGTTATGCCTGGAAGACACCTGGATGAAAAGCCCTGGGTTCAGATTATCGGCCTCCTGAGACTGCAAAGACACCTCCCCACACACACACACACACTGCACTGGGCTATTCAGCTGAAGTAAGATCCAATTGTTTCATTCATGTAAGACTTTTGTTCTTGAATCAACTTTCAGCAAGGTCACCTGGCATGTTTCTATAGTTTGCCTGCCAGGGCTAATTTTGAAAGCAGAATAATGCGAATATCATTCTGTGACAAAATTGTATATATTTCAGCATCTATTCTTTTACATCATGGACTGAAATCCATGTCATTTAGATAGTATTAAAGATATCTTAATTTGTGCTGCAAAATGAGTTCCATCTCGTAGCCTTTGCATGTATCAGTACTTTAATATAATTATAAATGTTGTAGCTAAACAAATTTATCCTGTTTGTTTAATCGGATCCACTGACTTTATTGAAAGTTACAACATAGTTCGTGCCACCGCACATCATGGCTATATATCATTTGTTTTTTCAAGCTTTTATGTTTGCTGACTTTGTGGTCTATTGCTCAGTGTATGACAATCTGTAGGCTGTAAATTTCCATCTGAAGACATATCCAAAGAGGAGTTTCTAGTTCCTCCTGGAACAGTTCAGTTTGTGGGGAGGGAGCATTGCTATTTGTATGGTCTAAGTACTTTTTCAAAGAGTGTTTCTGTCCTTGAACTTGAGATGCTTGTTCAGGGTCACTATGTACGGAATATGGAGTAGACGATGCAATAACTCAAAAGACTGCAAAGACCTAACAGCAGATCTAGCCTCACCACTGACACACTTCATAAGCTTGGATGAGTCATTTACCTTTACCAAGAATTCCCTTGATTCCAAATGTAAAATAGCAAATAAGATCAGACAAAAGTAACAAGTTTATATTCCTTGAGGGGTGAGATGGATAATTCAAACTTCACAAATATCTTGTGGAAAAAAATTTTACCTTTTATAAAGCCATTCAGATTTCATCATTTTTCATTTATCTATCATCTATCTGTCCTCTATCATCTATATCTATCATCTATCATTTACCTACATATATCTGTCCCTATCATCTATCTATCTATCTGTCTGTCTGTCTTTCTGTCTGTCTGTCATCATCTATTATTTATTTATGGAGGGTGTGCATGCCACAGAAAATATGAAATTAATAGGAAGACTTGTGGGAGTCAATCTCTCCCTCCACTTTGTGTGTCCTAAGGATGAAATTCAGGTTGTCAGACTTACTGGCAGGTGCCTTTAGTCACTATGTAAGTCACTTTTCTGCTTCTGTGATAAACCACCATGATCAAGGCAACTTAATAGAATAAGAGTTTATTGGGCTTTTGGTTCCAGAGGGTAAGAGTCCATCATAGTGTGGAAGCCGGGCAGGAGGCGGCCAGAGCAGAGAGCTGGGAGCTCACAGCTTCAAGCAGACTCAGGGAGCAGAGAGGGAAACTGAATGAGGAACAAGGCTACAGACACTCAAATCCACCCCAGGGACTTGCTTCCTCAAGCAAGGCCTCACCTCCTGAGCTTCCACAAACAGCACCAAGTGGGGACAAAGTGTTCAAATACTTGAAGCCTGTGGAGACTCTCGTTGAAACCAGCACACCCACTGAACAGTCTCACTGGCCACAGAATTCAACATTTTAAAGTGGCCAAAGAAATAAACTGGAGGGGAGCTAGGAAGAGTAGAGGTGGGGGAAGTTGAACTTAGACTTTGGGTTGAATGGATCGTAAGGCCTTTATCAATTCTGCACATGCCTGTTGTTTACTTGCTGTCAATCTCTAAATGATGCTTCGTATTACCTCAGAATGAGCAAGAAAAGAATAATTTCAACAGCAGAAATGAGGAAAAGGTGGTTCTTAAAAATGTTTTATTTATTGTTTTTATTTTATATGCATAGGTGTATTGTCTGCATGTATGCAAGTGCATTCATGTAGTGCAGTGTCCACAGAGGTCAGAAGAGGGTATCCAATCCCCTGGAACTGGAGTTATGAACAGTTGTTAGCTACCATGTGGGTGCTGGGAAGTGAACCTGGGTCCTCTGCAAGAGCAGCCAGTGCTCTTAAACAATGAACCATCTTTCCAGCCCTGAAAATGTGGTTTTCAAATCATAAAAATGCACACGAAACTATTTATCAGTTTAATAATTCTTTTGAGTTCTTTTTAATTATGTGATGATTAGGAATGGTGATTTTGAACACAGTACACAGTCTAAGAATCAAACCTAGTCTGTCAATTACTGGTTAATGAATTTTCCATTAATTGGCATTTTCATTAAGAAGTTATGTGGCTCCCTGAAGATAAAGGGCCTATCTGGGAATAATTTTATGATTCTTTAACTAGTATGAAAAGTTCAAGTTTTTTAGTATTAATGTCAAGCAATATTTGAATTAAAATATCTCATATAGATTAAATAAAATCAGTAATTTAAATTAGTTTATGTCGTACAATGATTTCCTGGCCTCACCAGCTGTCACCCTTCTATACTTATTTCATGTTTGTACAGCAGTAGCACTCGTTCGTTCCTTCTTAACACTGGCTGCTGCTTTGTAACCCGTATTTCAGTTGACAATGTTAAGTGCATTTCATCAGGAGCTAATGGCAGTTAGGAAACAGGCTGAGAGGAAGATGGAAAGTGGGCCAAGGCAAAATATTGAAAGGGTCTTTTCTATTTTCTTTGGGTCAATGTAAATCAGAATTTATGTCTAAAAGTAAATAGAACTCAGGACAATAAAGCCTTACAATAAAGGAGAAATTGGAATGGGCTGGGCCTTTAACGCTACTCTGGGCCTTTCTAACGTCTTTATCTTATTACTCACATAGTTTTCTGTTTCATGACCATGTCCATTTGTGCACAATCAGTTACTTCATATTTGATCTGTTTTGACACTAGGTTGGTCTCTGGGGCACACTGCTTATGTCAAATGGTTTTCTGAGTTACTAGAAGCTAAGTCACTACCTTATGATATGATCACATGATATTCTTTCAGGAGTCTTTTGAATTACGTGTTACAGTTTAGTCATGTGGTAATTTTGAGTATTTCTTGTCCTTTGATGTCAAGTCAAAGCAGAAAGCCTCAGATGTTAATTCTCAAGCTGGTTGGAACTGGCTGTCTCTGTGCCCATTAGCTGAGCCACATCTCTTTGCGAATCTATCAGCCACTTCATTTTGAACTTATTTTGAATCCTCTGCAGATTTTACATATTATACCAAATTAGACCAAGTGTTGACTGTTAACAGTCAAGCTGACACTATGCCAGGAAGCTGTCTGCTGATCCTTCCTGTGTCTTATGCTCCCATTTTATGAAAGGAATTTAGGACAAATAAACAGTAATCATAATCAAATATCTCCTTTTTATTTAATGAGTAAATTCACAAGCAAGGATATTCAAGTTATCGCCATAACTTCAATTCCAGCACTCTGGAGGCAGAGGCAGGCGGGTCACTGTGAGACAGAGGCCGGCCTAGTCTACATAGCAAGGTCCAGGTCTGATGGGGCTGCAGGGAAACCTTGTCTCAAAGAAAACAATTACAAATATATCTATTTTTTTTTCAAGGTCTTGGTAAGTCATAGAGTGTGGGCAAAGAAGAGTCTTGAACTTCTGGAGTTAGTGACAGAAACATCCAATCCATCGTTTAGTACACAGATTCCTAATATAAAAGTAACATTGTCGGCCCCCCAGCCGTTCCCCACTACTTGCCCTTCTGGTGAATCTAGTCAGCCTATCTAGAGGTCTTTGTTTTACGAAGGTCAGCTGTTCCTCATCTAGCAGCAATTAGTTGACAACATTCCTTTTGATAAGATTGGGGTCTGCTGTTCATTTTCCCAGTTCTATGCTGGGCTCTAGTGGGGCGGGGGGAGGCTATGGGAGGATGCCATCTGGGAAGTGGGTGTATAGTTGAATAAGATGGTTTGGGATGTTTTGTGTGATATACATACATACACAAAAATCAACAAATTTAAAAAATGAATTATATTTGAGGAAGAAGCATAAAAATTTACGTCACGTTAATTACTAGAGGTGATAAACATTACCATTGAAATCTACCCGATGATTTTATAGACATACATAGGTGCCAAGGATCCGAATGCAACCCTCCATGACTAGTAATAATCAGATACATACAGATTAGAGACACATGTGCCAACTCTAAGTGTTACTAAAGGTTAAAAACTCATTCAATTTTTTGTCTTACAGAGTTTATACTGAGTTCAATAAACTGTATTAATTCAACAGTGAACCTAAAAATTTTATAGCCACTTTTGAAAGAGATGTATCTTTGCTCTAGAAACTTTTATTAAGTATGTTAAAGTTGTAATGAAATGCTTCAGAGATGTATCTGGAAACTGTTACAGAGTATGTTAAGGGTGTCATGAAATTCTTCTTCTAAAAAAAAATTTTAAAAAAATTTTAAAAAGTAATGTGAGCTAAGCATCAAAATTGAAGTACTTGACTACCACCTTTAGAGTATGTTAAGGGTGTCATGAAATTCTTCTTCTAAAAAAAATTTAAAAAAGTAATGTGAGCTAAGCATCAAAATTGAAGTACTTGACTACCACCTTTAAGGCTGTACTGTGTGTATATGTACTTGAGAACTTTACTGTCCTGTGCGAGTCCTTCCATGCTATGTGAGGTGTTCAGACACCACTTACCGTGACCTCACCATTAGTATTTGACTTTCGTCAGTTATGACTTTCCAATGAAGTGTTTAATGACAATCAAGTCATTACTGTTTTAATAACCAGAAGAAATGTGCATGAATTCTAAATTTTAAAAAGATACGACACTAGATTTTAAAAGTATCAGAGCTCTTACATGACTGTAGCAATTGTTTGAAAATTTTAATAAATTATTTACATTATCAAAATCTAAAGTATAATGATGTAGTAAAGTTGAGATGCTCAGGAAAATTTAGAATAATAACTAAAAAATGTAACCACAGCTTATTACAATCTAACCAAAATTTTCTGGTCAATTAGATGTGATCGTGTTAAACAATGATATACTGTAAAAATAATTAGGGCTAGCATATTAGTGAGTGCCTAGATGTGGGGCTACTTAAAGGCATTTTATGCTGTCAAAAATTCACAACACTTCCTGGATCTCTTTTAACAGCG